AAAAAAAAAAATTATAGCAAATTTTAAATTAGTAAAATATTTAATAATGAAATCTTTATTTATATTGCTTTATTCATTTCAAAGCCATGTCAGTGCCTCTCAGTATCTAATATATAGTAGCCTTTGTTCCTTAATAGGCTAGTTAGAGAGCTCCAAACAATTGATCTCAATAAGAGTCTTAGGTCTTATTTTCCCTTATTTTGACATTTTGCTAAGTCTAATATAGAAAATCTAGCTGTTTGAATTACTTTTTTAGGAAGAATAATCATTTATCTTTGTCACATTTGAACTAATATGCCAACCTTATTTATTGAAAAACTAATTAATTCTCATAAACTAACATCAGAGGCAAGAAAATTTCAACTATTGTGTGATTATTTTCCCCCTATAGGTAAGAAAGGTAAAGCAAATATTTGTAACTTGTCTAGGAGACATAAAGAACTTGGATCTACTAGAATTCTAAAGTTTAGCCCTTTGTTTTCATTTTAGTAGATGATAATACCAGTTCATTTTCATAAAATGATGCCTTAACAGTGGATAAATAGAATAATTACATTCTCTTTTATTAAGAAATTATGAATTAATCATTGTGTATAAAATTAATAGATTTTAACAGTTAAAAATCCAGGGGGGATAGGGCTGTGTGGCACACCTCTTGGGGGTGGGACACCAGAGGGACTTTATCTAACAAATGCAATCAGTGTAACCTAATTTCTTTGTACCCTAAATGAATCTCAAACAATAAAAAAGAAAAAATCTTCAGAGTAGTTTGGTTTCGTATGCATTAGGATAGCTAATGATCAGGAATCATGATTTTGCTTCAGGCAATCAATTTCTGTAACAGTTAATTAACCTCTAGGAAAGTAATAGGAAAAAATTGTGGTTTAAACTTGCAAAATTTTTACTCCTTCTAAGATGTATTCTTTTTTTTTTTTTAGACAGAGCCTCAAGCTGTCCCCCTGGATAGAGTGCTGTGGCATCACAGCTCACAGCAACCTCCAACTCCTGGGCTCAAGCAAGTCTCCTGCCTCCACCTTCCAAGTAGCTGGCACCACAGGTGCCCGCCACAACACCTGGCTATTTTTTTTTGGTTGCAGCCATCATTGTTGTTTGGTGGGCCCCGGCTGGATTCTAACCCGCCACCTTAGGTGTATGTGGCTGGTGCCTTAGCCACTTGAGGCATAGGCATCAAGCCCTAAGATGTATTCTTAAGGCTCCATAGTACTAAAAATAATCAGAAGACTTTTTTTTTTTTCTGAGACAGTCTCACTTTGTTACCCTTGGTACAGTTTGATGGCTTCACAGCTCACGACAACCCTTAAACTCTTAAGCTAAAGCAATCCTCTTGCCTCAGCCTCTGGAGTAGATGGAGCCCCAGACGCACAGGCAGAGTACTGCTGCCTTGGCCTCGGAAGACTTTTAAATGGAAAATAATACTTGTCTTCTGTTAGAATAATTTACTGAAGAAATCTCCCTGAAAAGCTCACTAAAAATTATATGTATAGAAATGTTTAAGATATAGCCTTTTCTAGAGACAATAAATTTGTTTCACGTAAATACATGAAATCCTTTGATTCTTACTGACCGGCTAATCCCAATTTTACACTATTATCAGAGTTTCCTTGTGCAAATAGTTTGTGTTTTTTTTTGAAAATGTGACATTGGAGCCAGTTGTGGTGGTCACCTATAATTACAGGCTCATGCCTGTACTTACTCTGGGAGGCCGAGGCTGGTAGATGGCCAGAGCTCAGAAGTTGGAGACCAGCTTGAGCAAGAGGGAGACCCTCTTTCTACTAAAAATAGAAAAATTAGCTGGACATTGTGGCAAGTGCCTATAGTCCCAGTTACTGTGGAGGCTGAGGCAGGAGGATTGCTTGAGCCCAAGAGTTTGAGGTTGCTGTGAGCTATAACTCCATAGCACTGTAGCCTAGGCAACAGAGTGAAACTTATTCTCAAAACAAAACAAACAAACAAAAATAAATAAATAAATACATAATGGCAGAAAGAGGAGGAGTTTTTTAAAAAAAAGAAAACGTGACATTGGTGCCTGAACTAATGGTACAAAGCAGGAAAACACAAAAAGCAGAGAAGTTGAGGATAGTTGTGTGAGAAAATATGTACAGATTAATATCTTTAGCCTGCTGACTAGTCTTAAACAGTCTCTATTTTATATTTTCTATGTATCTTCCTAATGAGGTTTCTGATTTTTTTTTTTTAACAGAAATGACCTTTAGTAAAGTTGTTGAATTCAGACTTGGAAATTCATGCTAACTTTCTTTAGAGTACTTTCACTTTTAAAACTTTTTAGGCAGATGCAGTGGCTCACGCCTCTAATCCTATCACTCTGGGAAAACAACACAGGTGATTGCTTGACCTCAGGAGTTCCAGATCAGCCTGAGCAAGAGCAAGACCCCATCTCTAAAAAATAGAAAAAACTAGCTGGGAGTGGTGGCAGGCCCCTATAATCCTAGCTACTTGGGAGCCTTCAGCAGGAGAATCACTTGAACCCTGAAGTTTGAGGTTGCTGTGAGCTATGACACCATGACACTCTACCCAGGGTGACAGAGTAAGATTCCATCTAAAAAAAAAAAAAAGAAAGAAAGAAACTATTTTTACATGTATTATAAACTTCAAATAACATGATATCTCCAGACCCTTATCATACTATGTGTTATCCAACCAAATGAAGCATTTTACATAATTTCTTACTTAAAGAATATAAAAAGCAATCCAAGCATGTGAAGCTTTATGAGTTTGATAGAAATTGTCTGGAAAATGGTAAACCCAAAGATATCATTTCTAAGTAACTAAACACACCAACTCTTCTTACAATTAGCAAATATTGGTATCAAATATTAATATTAGCATCTTTTAATTATTTGGAAATTTATTTATAAGCACACACATTCCAGATATGAAGGATAGTAAAGAAAATAACATTTATTTCTTTCAAACACTCACAAGGAATCTTAATTTTGACAGCCATGGACAACATTTAGTGCTTTTACTCTCTGGAAGAAGAAATGTATGGAAAGTAAGTAAAAATATGAGAGAAAATCTCTCATCACACAAGTGATACATACATCTATATGTTTAAAGAACAGGTCTAATTTTACCTTTTATGTTTCACATGTTGCTGTAGCAAGAACTTGCCTTGTCATTCGAAGTGGCCAGAGGAGAGACAAAATGGGAAGGTAAAGCTTATCTTCCTTGGAGTTATTTTCCACCAAACGTGACCAAATTCAATGCATTTGCAATTCATGGATCAGAAGATAAGCAAAGTTATGAAGCTCTTTACCCTGTCCCTCAGCAGGAACTGCAAGAAGGACAAAAACCTGATTTGTAAGTAGAAAATGAATGAAGTTATGTCCCAACAATAGGAGCTTTTTTGAAATTGATTTGTGGTAGAGAAATATTGACATCTTTTGGTCAAAGACGACGATGTATGTGTCCAAGCACCTGGTAGCGTCCCATGTTCACTAATGGTTCTCAGAAAATACTTAATAGACTAACTTTGGATTGACATAATCTCTCTTACTACTGAAGTAGAGCACTTGTTTTTCTATGGTAGTATGAGAAAAGTCTTGTTTAGTGAGTGTTATAATAGCTAATACAGAAGTATGATTGCAAATTCATTTATAATCCCTTTCAGAGCTAAATGGTCAGAGGCATCAGTATTTCCTGATGCAAACAAAGGGTTAATAAATCCTTTTTCCTCCTGCAAGAGAACCTGATGTTCAGTTACCTCTTTAGTTCTCTTCTCCTGGTAACCTCATCAGAATAAAAATGTCAACTATGTTTGTAGGCACCATTGCTGATGACAAAAATGATTCCTAATTGGTAAATTGCATCTGGGCTGAGAATAATTTTGAGTGAACTATAAATATAGCATGAAGACAGCATGGCTTTGGGATTCCCTTTTCTAGTCATGTTCCCTGTGGGGCCGCTAGAGCTATGCCTATGGAATTACTACAAGACATGTTGGCTTCTCTGGGGTACCAAGTGTTTAAGCCAGGGTTTCTCTTGTACTTTCCCAATGTGAGTCTTGTTTCTTTGCACTTGAAGCTGTCACCTAGGGAGAGTATAGTAACTGGCCAACCCTGTGAGTACTTCATGAAGTACCCCCTTGGGGAGCTTGGGGAGGAAAGCCACACGCTGATCTTGGGCAAGCTATGATTCCTGCTGTATACCCCTCTAAGCTTACTCTGCCTAAGATAGTATGGTCAGTCTGAGTGTTTGGAAGAGCCAACAGCATATCCTTGTGTGCACTGTTCCATGTAGAACAGCGGTTCTCAACCTGTGGGTCGCGACCCTTTTGTGACAATGAAAATACATCCTGCATATCAGATATTTACATTACGATTCATAACAGTAGCAAAATTACAGTTGTGAAATAGCAATGAAAATAATTTATGGTTGGGGGTCACCGCAACATGAGGAACTGTATTAAAGGATCGTGGCATTCGGAGGCATTAGGAAGGTTGAGAAGCCCTGATGTAGACAGACACTCCTGCCTTCGACCTGGCATTGTGCTGCACAGTTCTCCTCTCCCCGTTTACCTTCTTTCTATCATGCTCTTACTTCCCTCTCCTTTGCCTTCATCTCTTCCAGCATATTTATTTTACCTGATACACTTTCCCTCTTCCCTTTTGTTTTTCTCCCCAGTCCTGACACTTTCTACCTAGAATCCTTTTCCCTTCCTTTCTCTTCTCCTTCTTTGTAGTTTATTTAACCTCTTATGCTGGGATTGATAGTTGTGACTCAAACACTGACTCATCAGGGATGCAGAATGAAATAAAAATCTAGTTGCAACTAACTCAGGGCCCTCATACCAAGAAGGCATGTCTTTCTGGCTTTTCATTAGGTAATATCTGCCTGTATTCAGACTACTTGTTCATTTGTTATTGGAGATTTACCTTAGATGGAAGTATGTATACATCATCAAGGGCAGATCCAGGGCAGAATGACTTCTTGTAGAGTGGAGTTCTACTGCAGCATGTTAGCTAAGACTTTCTCTCTTCATAAACCCACAAAAGAAAGCTTCATAATAGTAAATGGTTTTCTTGGAATGAAAAGAACTAGAATTAACAGTCTTTTACAATCACTTTTCTTTGCTTTGGCAAGGAAAGGATATAAGTCTGTTCTCTAATCTCTAGAGCTGAAACCTTTAAAAACAATTGCTTATATGACTGATATAAATTATAAGCACACTTGAAAAGAAAAACATATGCAAGAGTATAATATGACTTGTTTGAAACCAGACAGAACAAATCAGGTTTTGAGGACTGATTTTTACTTCTCTCTCCAGCTGTGAGGGAGCTATTTGCTGAATTGAAAGAAGAGTGCTTTGAGATGCGGGTGAATGTTTTTAGAGCCAAGTGTTTGATAGCTCAAGTGAGAAACTTGTATGTGTAGAATACATCTTACCTTTGATATTTCTTAAAATAGAATGTTGTCCTATCATAGATGTGACAAAATAAATAGCCCTTCAGGACAACTATTTCACAAATGCATAATTCATTTCACTTCCCACCTTCTTTTTTTTTGCTTTCAGCCATCGCCTAGAATACTTCAAGCCTTTCAATTTTAACACACTGCTTGGAGAAGAATGGAAACAACCAGAATCTGACCTATGGCTAACAGAGAAGCCAGATATATAGGAACGCAGTAGATAACCACATCAATCATTTTTTCTCCTTACCTTTTGAGGTGAACCAATAATGAGCATCAGTCTTTTTTGAAACAGCATAAACACACTTCAACAACAAATATTTTCATAGAGGTCACTGAAAATGTGATATCTGTGGTAAATGTGTATGATTAATAAGAAAATAGAAAGTTTGTAGATGATTTTATCTATAATGTTAAAATGTTTCTCAGAGTCAGTCTAGAACCCATGATGTAAATGGGTTTAAATCACTATCACCTCAAATATCCTTGATTCTGTCACTGAAGTTGTTACTTCTCTTCTCATTTCCGTAAACATCAGCCAGCCTGAGACCAGGACATCTTATTTGCACATTTTTATTTTTATATAACATATGGTAATTTTTGCCTAAGCATCTACTGTCCATTATTGAAATTAGTAGAAAATAACGACCTATTTCAGCTGAAAGGGAAATCCATATCTGAAAGACGTCATTAAGATACATGAGCTATTTAACCAGCTGTTTCTTTCTGTCTTCTATTTTTACAGAATAAAGTTGTCTTGAATTCAGGCAACAGACTCTGCTTTCATTTACAAATAAATGACATTTTTCTTAATGTTGTTAAACAAGTTGTCAAAATGTCTTCAACTTATTTTGTAAGCATCAAAGATTCCTGGTCTAGAATTTTCAAATTTTAAATTGTAATATTTTAGACTTTAAAGCCATCTAGTAGATCATCTGTGAACTTCCTCACCAGGCTTGCATGTTCTCTGGCGTTCTTAACTCAGAGATTAGCAGTATTGTACAAGATGAAGGTTTTTTTTTTTTTTTTTTTGAGACAGGAGCCTCAAGCTGTCCCCCTGGGTAGAGTACCGTGGCATCTCAGCTCACAGCAACCTCCAACTCCTGGGCTCAAGCGAGTCTCCTGCCTCCGCCTCCCGAGTAGCTGGGACCACAGGCGCCCGCCACAACGCCTGGCTATTTTTTTGGTTGCAGCTGTCATTGTTGTTTGGCAGGCCCAGGCTGGATTCGAACCCGCCACCTTGGGTGTATGTGGCTGGTGCCTTAGCCACTTGAGCCATAGGCGCCGAGCCACAAGATGAAGCTTTACTACTTATAGAAATACCTAGCTGTCTACCTAACAGTATACTTTCTCTTCTTCTTCTTTACTAACAGAAATTGAATTTCTTGAGCTCAAGCAAATCGGTCTTCTTCAAAAACTACATTTTTCCTTTTCAGATATAAATGTCTATTCAACAGTTCAGTTCTACAAGATATAAGTATACAATCTTAGTTGGGGTTTTAAGAAAGCTACTTTAGGCTCGGCGCCTGTGGCTCAAGCGGCTAAGGTGACAGCCACATACACCTAAGGTGGCGGGTTCGAATCCCCAGCCCGGCCCACCAAACAACAATGATGGCTGCAACCAAAAAAATGGCCAGGCGTTGTGGTGGGCACCTGTAGTCCCAGCTACTTGGGAGGCGGAGGCAGGAGACTCACTTGAGCCCAGGAGTTGGAGGTTGCTGTGAGCGTGATGCTGTGGCACTCTACCCAGGGGGATAGCTTGAGGCTCCGTCTCAAATAAAAAAAAAAAGAAAGCTACTTTAAAGATGAAATACTCAGATGCCCTATACTTTTTATCCTTTGCCCTTTCCCTTCTTTTTTCATAAATTGTAGAATTGATACTTGAAGTAGCACACTAGTATGTTGTGACCGTGGGAAACAACCTAGGGATAGCTGGGTAGAAAAACAAAGGCGCCTGGGTTCCAAACAGTGCAATAGAGTAATATATCATTTCTAAAACCCCTACTTCTAGACTTAATGATACATGAGAAAAACTGCTTAATTTGTTTGTGCCACTTCATAAAAAAAATAAATATTTATATTATATTTGGCCAAATGCAATTCCTAACTAATATTCCTTTAGTTGAGTGGAAAATGTAAGCTGTCTTCCACTTAAGGTCAAAAACAAGGCAATAATGTCCACA